GCTACTCTACAGTCTGACTTCAGAATACTTGGAAAATAACTTGGAAAATAGAGCACTAAGACTGGAATACACTACACAACTTTTGCCCAGATTTTTGCCTCGATTTGCAGTCTAAATGAGTCAACACTGAAAGTCAGAGTCAGTCTATAGATTTTGGGCCATCAGAGTTTTTTACACAGAGAAAATTGTGTAGTGAATGATGGGCACAGAATCATCAACCATGCTTGATATTTTGAGCTGGTTTTAGAACATATTGTTTTCATCTTTCATGCTTCTCCTAGCATGTGTTTCTGCATGAGTTTGTTGTGTTCGTAACGATTTGTAGTGTGTGATCCTCAGTCGTTTAGTGTATGATGCCCAGTTTTTTTCTGTAACCATTTACAAAGTTGTCAAGTGAATGATGGCTAGTGTTTTAAAATATGTTCAGATTTTAAAAGTCGTGTAGTGTATTCCAGTCTGTAGTCATATAGATTTTGTTAATGATATCTTATGCTGCCTTTTTGTCCTTTTATTAAACTTGACAGCCCATTCACCAATTGTATGAATGACAGCAGCTTATATTAAATATTACATTCTGATAAACATCTCCTTTTGTGTCCCACCGAATAAAGTCCATATTCTTCCGTAGGACAAAAAAGGAGATGAAATTGAAATAACGGGTTGAAATAACGATGAGTAAATGAATTGTCATATTGGGGTGAACTTTTTAAAACATCTATACCAACAGAACACACTGAAAAGCAATAGCACAAATATAAACTAAAAGAACAAAAGCTTCAGAAACCCTCACTTTCATACAACATATAAACATATACACCTCCAAACAACCCATCTCTCACACACACACACACACCTGTAAATATTATGGAATCGATAAAGAAAAAGTGAGAAAACATCCAAAAGAGAAACTTTTGACCTTTCCTGACCTGTGCTCTTCTGTATTCGTCAACAGAACTGAAAGCATAATTGAAGAGGCACTGTGATCACAGTAAAACACACTACATGGGCACAACTCAAGCCAGAAAGAGTGAGTTAGAAAAGAAGGGGAAAGAGAGAAAGGAGAAAGCAAGATACAGTCTCACATTAAAAACAAAAGCCCACTATATGTGGCCATTTGCCCCCAATTTTTTAGGGTCTTAACATATATGTAAACCTTTCAGTTTCCATTCGTAACAATTGCATCACAGCACTTGCAACACAGTGTCCAGTTAAAATGGCAACAGCCCAGGTATGTCATTACAGCCCTACGAGAACTTACCTGTGTCTGTGGGCATCAGTAATATGTGTTTGCTGAGATTTTAGTGTCTGTGTTGTGTTTTTTTCATCTTACCTCGTCATAAAATTCCCTCTTTAAATGTCCATGTATCTCTTTCAAGTCTATCAGACAGGTTTGTCTCTCCTCACCTGATGTTTTGTGTATATGTGCGGCAGAATTGTGTCCCTGATCAGTTAGACTACAGGACTGTAGCACACATCCTAACAGCGTCAGTGTTTCAGCACAGCCCCTTAAAATACTATTCATGGCTAGAATATTGGAGTTCAGTGTTTCTGGTCCATTTAATGAAGGGTTTTCATCTGCTGGCTGTGATGAAACACTGGTCAGTGGACCCCAGAGTGGAGGGCAGTTCCAGGAGAGAGAAGAAACCAGCTTTATTCAAAAAAATAAAACAGAAAATGCAAATAAAACACAACCCTTCCCAGTGACCGTTCACCAAAACCCCTAAGGCATAAAAAGGCATTCCTCTTTGGGCTTCTTTCCGGTAGTAAATATAATGTGGGATGGCAATTATACAGCCCTAAAAAGGCAAAACAGAATAACTACACCCACACTGGAACTGGGGGAAATGGCTTCACTGAGTTTCCATTCTCACACATTTTCTTCTGAATCTGAACATTGAGCCAACCCTGTTTGTTAAAGGTGAAATCAAAGTTTAAGAAATGTGATTTTGGGAAAAATGCAATGTGTAGTTACTGCGCTTTGCCTTTGAATGGCAGTATAGTGAGCACTGAAACTCTACAAAGACCTGAAGGGCACTATACTAAGGTGAAAGGTCACCGCTAGGGAGGAGAAGGAGGAGGAAGAAGTCACAGCAACACTGAATGGATTACAGTGCACACACACACACGACAACACACGAACAAGGGAAGACATGTGTAACAGTGTAGCAACAAGAGCTGACATACAAACGCATGACACGACACAACCTGAGGAAGGAGATAACACAACAACAGCTAGTCAGACAAGCGCACCTCAAAAACACACACATCAGAGAATACAACATCCCCCAAACACACTCAAATTAAGCAGAAATCACACATATAACCACCTGTAATAACACATTTTCATTTCTTCAAATCTGTGGGTGTGTGAACTTGAGTGTGTCTTGAACTATACTGGCCTGAGGGTTAAAAGTGCAGCGTTAACTCGTGTCTGGTGCTCGGTTCAGTCAAGAGAAAAGAGAGTGAACGATGTACAAACAGGAGGAAGAAAAAAAAGAAACTGAGGAAATAATTAATAATTAAAAACATAATTAGAATGACAAAAGTTTAAGTTTTGAGGGTAAAATGAGAGTGAGAAAGACAGAGATGAGGGAGCTAATGCTGTAACGCTTAGGCTTTGAGATATATATGTAGATATATAGTGCAGGTTTCAAAGCTAGTCCAAGTAAACACTTATTAATTTTTGAGTCAGAGAGACACAGGAGATATTGACTCTAGCTTGTTACGAGTCTCAGGGCAAAAATTCCACTGAAAGTTAAAGAAATGCCCCTGATATTTAAGAAAGAAAGAAGAAGTCCCATAGGGAATTTTTTTATTTTTAAAAAATGTAATATGATTCATTATATTGAATTCTATGTATATCTCGGGATTAGTATAAAAAAAATACAAATGCCAATTATTTAAAACTGGGCCTTTATTGGGTTAAGACATCTTATGCACTACTCATTTCTTCATTTATATTTTATTCGATATAAACTATATAATGGAACTTGATGTTGTGTTTTTTTGGGGTTAGAAATAAAATGCCCTCATTAAAGGGTAAACAAAATAATTAATTAATTAATTCTAGGGGCAAACTGAAAAGAAAAAAAGAAAATATATATATATATATATGGCCCATTAATACAAAAGTGAATTTCTGGCACTGCTGTGATTGATGCTGTGATAATTTATCAGTGTAATATTGTACAAAATTGTCAAACACACAGACAGAACACACTGAAGGCATTTGTCCTCCCTGACTCAAATGCATATTGTTCCTGTTAAGCTCAGTGCTTATGACTGTGTACTTAAGTACTGAGTGTGACTATGTTTGTTTCATATCTATAGTTGCTCTAAAGTATGAATGTGATAAATATATTCTTAGTACAAATACTAGTAATTGTGTCCTTCTAAAATATAAACTTAATTCCCTGTGAAATAGCAGTATGCTGTATGGAGTAAATATTGACAATTTTTGTACTCAACTAATTTCTACGCTACATTACAGGTGGCTTTCTTAAGTGTTACCTCTGATTCATTATGGTTTGATCCAGGAAGAGGCAGAATTGGCATTGAGGTCCTGCTGTAGCAGTGGCCCTTCCGACTTGAACCATTCCTCTCCTGGGTTGGCGCCTGCAGCTTCTAGTGTTTTTGTGGGGGGGGGTTGTAGGATTTGGTTGTGTAGACGGGTGTATTTAGGATACGTGGAGGTTATTGGAAAGGTGCAGGAGTAAGAATGTATAGTATAGAAAGGAAGGCAGTAGATATTAATCATGCCATTGCAAAAAAGTAAAGGACATGAAAAGACATAAGAGGATGTGTCGCAAAGAGCATGAGGTGCAGAAGATTGGGAGAAAAGAGGCCAAGATGAAAGGTTGGAAGGAGGGAATAAGACATGAACAGAGTCAAGCCAGGGTGGGAGGCCAGGAAGAGAAAGAGAATGAAGTAATAAATCAATGAATGAGAGCAAGAAAGAGCAAAGGCAAGCACGATAGATAGAGATAGACAGACAGACAGACAGACAGACAGACAGACAGACAGATAGATAGATAGATAGATAGATAGATAGATAGATAGATAGATAGATAGATAGATAGATAGATAGATAGATAGATGGATGGATGGATGGATGGATGGATGGATGGATGGATGGATGGATGGATGGATGGATGGATGGATGGATAGATAGATAGATAGATAGATAGATAGATAGAGAGACAGACAGACAGACAGACAGACAGACAGACAGACAGACAGACAGATAGATAGATAGATAGATAGATAGATAGATAGATTAGATAGATAGATAGATAGATAGATAGATAGATAGATAGATAGATAGATAGATAGATAGATAGATAGATAGATAGATAGATAGATAGATAGATGGATGGATGGATGGATGGATGGATGGATGGATGGATGGATGGATGGATGGATGGATGGATGGAAAGATGGATAGATAGATAGATAGATAGATAGATAGATAGATAGATAGATAGATAGATAGATAGATAGATAGATAGCATTTGAAGAGCTTGTTGACCATACGCAGTGAATTTGTTTGATAGGCATTGCATTTGTGCTAGGATTACGTTCACTGAAAAGTCCTGATTTAATCAAAGATTAAACACTATTACCAAAGATACGAATTGAATTATTACTGCGTGTGTGCTAGCAGCTTTGCTAATGATGAGCGCCCTTCAGAATGATAGATGTGGTGAATTATGAGGAGAAATGCAAGAGATGGAGGGAGCTATGCTGTTAGTATGGATGCAGGAGAGTATGTTTCAATGCGTATACCTCTGATGTACTTTGTGAAGTGCATCTAAGTGGATGTATATTTGAGTATAGATGTGTATATATATATATATATATTTCGCTGTAGTCGTTTTTTTCAATTTATGTGTGTTTGTCCACACGCAATAATAAGCATTGGATCATATAACTTACCTTTCTTTGTAATGTACACTGAAAATATGAGTATAATAACACATTTGTTTGTGGGTGCCGCATACCTTTCCTGACATTGCTGTCTGTGGTGCGGAACTCTCCGGTACTGAGAAGGAAGCAGGCCCTATCGTGGGGGTAGCGTTCACGGCCCGTGCCTGTCCCCAACCCACCAGTGGCTGGACTCCTGTCATCTGGCCCCAGCACCTGATCTATAGTGGGACAGTCCTCATTGGCCAGAGCTGCGTTTGCAGCGTCCCCATTCTGCTTTGAGTCTGAAAGATAGATAGAGAGAGAGAAAGAAAGAAAGAAACTATTAGTGGGACTGTGTGCATGTGATATTAGAGAGAGTCATAGTAACATGAAAAGACAGGGATGAAGGAAGAAAAAAGACAAGGATGAAAAGGGATGAATAAAAAGGAGAAAAAAATAGATATGTGCTACAAAAAGAGCATCAGCATAACTTGATTAAAATGGTGCAGGGGTATTCAGAACATCACACACACACACACACACACACACACACACACACACACACACACAGACACAAACACGCACACACACACACACACACACACGCACACGCACACGCACGTACGCACACGCACACACACACACACACACACACACACACACACACACACACATGTTGGTGCAACAGCATTATGAGGACTCTCCATAGGCGTAATGGTTTTTATACCGTAAAAACTATATATTCTATCCCCCTACACTGCCCCTATCCCTAAACCTACCCATCACAGGAGACATGCAGCATTTTTAATTTTTTAATAAAACATTGTTTTTTATGTTTTTTAAGCCATTTGATTTATGAGGACTTTTGAAATGTCCTCATAAACCACCCATAAGTTGTAATACCAGTGTAATACACATGTCATTATACAAATTTGTGTCCTCATAAATCACATAAACCAACTCACACACACACACACACACACACACACACACACACACACACACACACACACACACACACACACACACACACACACACACACACACACACACACACACACACAACATGAATGAGTGTGTCTGAAAGACTGAGATGTGCACACACTCAAACAAAGAAGCTGCAGGGGCACTTGTTCTTATAGCTTCAGACACAGCTGTCAAATCTAATCTGACGTGAGTTACTGCTCAACAATTTACAGAAATAAGCCAGGGGGAAAAGCCTGCTAAAGACATGGAGAGAGATAGAAAAAAAGGAGAATGGGAAGGCGAGGGAGAACATGGCATAGAGACTGTTATGTAATTTGACCTCATTGGAAGGAATTACAAATATTTATCTGTGAAGACAGCAGTCCATATGACCATGAAATCTGGGAAGATGAACATTCACACTTGAGTGGTGACAAAAGGGTGATGAATGGATGTCACAAAAGTCTATAGTAAAGGTCATGACATCAAGTTCGCCAAACCAGATATAACTCACTTTCCTGACAGCCATTTAATTACAGTCATTAAAAGGACCATAAAAATACTTCTAATACAATAAAATTTAAATAAAAAACATTTATTCACCTTAATGTGTTTAACCCTCATATTGTGTTCGGGGCCTTTTGACCCAGAGAGGATTTTCTTTCCCCCCAAAATGCTAGTTAATGTTATTGCATTGGACTAAAACTTACTGACTTTACTCACCCAGTGTATAACTACTTCCCTACATTTTTTGTTTTTTTTTGTGTGTAATTTTGGCAATATTGAATAAAAAGTAAAAAATATTCTGTACAATTTGTCACACTAGTGCGCTTTAATGTTTAACCAGTAAGTTTGTTGTGAAATGTTTTTATTTTGTACAAAATGGCACACTGGTGGTGTTCCAGGTCAAAAATGACCAGCCTACAAAAAATGCAAATAGCTTATAAATCGCTCGTTATGCCAAATAATCACCAAATATTGGATTCAATATTTTTGTCAACTTGATCTTATATTGATCAAAAATGACCATCCATTGAAAATAAATGGGGGAGAAACATTTAGTGTTCAGGAGCGTGTTTCTCATGAACATGTGTGCTTGCAAAGATAAAGGCCTCGGATCCGTACATGCGTGGATACATGCACACACACGTTACCGAAAACAAGTTGACAAAAAGATTGAATCCAATATTTGGTGATAATATAGCACAACGAGTGATTTTTAAAAGATAAGCAATTTTTAAAAGGGCTTTTTTTTTACCAGTAACACCACAAGTGTGATTTTGTTCTATTTCGTACAAAATAAAATCATTTCAAAACAAACTTCCTGGTTAAACATTAAAGCACACTAGTGTGATAAATTGTACAGAATATATTTACTTTTTCAATATTGGCAAAATTACACATGAATAATGCTTTTTTGGTCCAAAATGTATATGCAAAAGCTCAGATAAAAGAGGCCTACAGTTAAAAAGTAATACAAAACCTGGCCTAATTGAAAGAAAACAAGTAGACAAAAAGATTGAATCCAATATTTGGTGATAATATAGCATAACGAGTGATTTACAAGCAATTTTTAAAAGGCCGGTCATATTTGATCGGGAACACAAAAGGTGTTATTCCAGCCCGATCTCACGGCAATTCGTACGAATTTTACGAGGTGGCTAATTCGTACTAATTCATACGACCTCACTCGTACGATTTTTGCTAATTCGTACATATTTTACGAGTTACCAAATTCGTATGAATTCGCACGAATGACCTACCCCTGACCCCGCCCCTAAACCTACCCATCACGTGGGTTTAGACAAATCGTACAAATTCGTACGAGTGAGGTCGTATGAATTAGTACGAATTAGCCACCTTTTAATCACTCGTACGAATTCGTACGAATTGGTCATGAGATAGCGTTATTCCTGCTACAGACTGCGATTTCAGCAATCCCATAAGATCATTACAAATCATACTGTACAACATGGATCTAATAAACTTGGGTACGGCATGTATGTAGACTGTACGATGATGACACCTATTGAATCATAGGCTACGATGCAAGTTAGTATAGAAGAATAAAATGTCATCAGCATGCGCTAGTGGTAAACAAATCGAGCAAGTTGAATCTGACTTTGGCAATTGTGGTGGAGGAAGCGAAAGAGGAGAATATCGACAGTCATGGCTAGGGAAAAGAGGCCAAATTGGCAAGCTAATGCAAATGGAGCTCGAGGCAAGCAGTTTTAAGTTTTAACGCCATGTTGCATTGATCAATACGCCATTTCATTTTGCATTTTTATTGGCTAGTCAGTAGACGTAGGTCGTAGCAGCAAAGACACTGCGAGATGATCATGCTACATTTCTGACACTGGCCATTTTACAGGGGTTTCAACACAACACAAGGGTTAAATATCCACATGAATTTATGAAACACAAAAGGAGAAATCTAGCACAATGTTCAAGCTGCTCTTTTCCATATGATGGAAGTAAATGGCAGGCTTTTAAGTGAATAAACCTGATAAACCTGTTGTATTGCTTAGACTAATTTTATTATTTTTATGGTGCATTTGCACTTTTTGAAGCTTGACATCACTTGGGTCCTATATTTACCTTCACTGTATAGAAGTGAGAAGCTCAGACATTTTTCACAACATCACCTTTAGCTTTCCACTAAAGAAATAAATGTATTCGTGTTTGGATTGACATATGGGTAGAAAATGATGAGAGATTTTTAATTTTGGGTGAACCTTTTAAAAATCTCAAGCATAGAAATCAAGCTACAGAATCAGAGCATCTCTCACACATTCCCCAAAAAAATAAACACACTCATACATGGGGACGGGGGACAAACAAATGACGAATTATAAGTTTTATCATTTTCGTTTTCCACTTCTTAATAAAACTTCACTAACAGTACACATGATGGATATGATACCAGTATTGTAGGTGTCAAGAGCGTGTGGGATTTGAAGCTACAGGAGGGCACATGTGCTAAAGCGTTTCTTCACAGCAAGTGTCTCAGGATGATTATGCTCCCTTTTATTTCCTCGGGAAATTCCAGCTGTGAGAACTCCATGAAAAAGCAAAACAAAGAGCAGGAGCTAAGAACTACAGCTCTCATCCACTTAAGAGGCTGCTTGTTCTAAATAATTTAACTTTTTATGAAAAACGTCCAAGTTATCCTATTTATAAAGATGCAATGTTAAATCTATTACACATCTGACAAAATCGGTTTTGAAATCAGTTGAAAATCACCAGAGGTAAGCAGAGTGCTGTTGATTTGAAACCGTCTGCCAGCATTATAGATCAAATATCGCATATGCTAATCTGAGGGGTCGTGACTAATCTGCATCATGTTAATCTTAGCATGGGGTGTGTATATTTGAGTTCTGCACACACAGTAATGACAGACGGAGCTCTCTCGGCTGCATGAACTCACTGGCTCAACCTGACCGACACCTTCACATGCAAACACACACGTATAGCGAAAAAATATTATTTTTCTTGGTTATATGGACATTAAGGGAACATTCCATTTTATAATTTTGCAAGCATTATTACTTTTGAATGTTCTCTGAACATTCTGAAACAAGTAGTAATATATATTTTTTTAAACGTTAAACAAGCTAAAACATTTCAGAAAAAAAGGTCCATTAATGATATATAAATGACGTTTTTGCTAACATTTTAAGAATATTATTAAGGTCAGGATCTGAACGAACATTGTATTAATGTAACTGGAAGAACGTTTGTCCATAACTTCGAAAGAACCTTGCCAGAATTTTAGTCAAAATTCTGAGAACCAATGTGTATTGGTATCGTAAAAACAATTTGCCCAGTCTTCAGTGTCACGTGATCCTTCAGAAATCATTCTAATATGCTGATTTGCTGCTGAATAAACATTTATTATTATAAATGTTGAAAACAGCTGTGCTGCTTAATTGTTTCCAGGATTCTTTGATGAATAGAATGTTCAAAAGAACAGCATTTATTTGAAATCTTTTGTATCAAGTCTTTACTGTCACTTTTGATACATTTAATGCATCCATGCTGAATAAAAGTCTATAGCGTTTTTTTTTAACAATAGTTTGTGTGTATATATATTTGGATTTAAAAAAATATTTTTACTGGAAAACAAGACAAATATAATGATTAGGAAAATGAGTTTGTGCAGTGAGTGCGCAAATAAACTGCACACACAAATAGGATTGTACGTGTCAATCATCTACCAAAAGCTGTTTGCTAGATTCAGGATCATATTCCCTTCCCTTCTGATTGGCTGGGATGTTTTCTAGTAGCCTTAGAAACTGATTGGAACGCATGAAACATAATCCTGCTATAAATTTTAATAATAACATCCCTGTCCTCTGTCAAAATTGGCCGTGACAGCCCAGTTTTGCATATTACTACTTTCAAATATATGTGTGTGCATGTGTGTAGACAGTTTTACACACAAGATTATATAAAAGACCCAGTTTAGGCGATGGCAGTTCATTATAAAGATCTATAAGTGATGAGCACAGGCAGAACTTTCATGATGGGTGAGATGGGGCTAGCTGACATCACACACAAAAATATACTCACTATAGCATATTTTTGTTGGTAATAAAGCACTTATTTGGCTTATTGTTGGAAATGTAACCTATTAGTGCAGAGAGACCTCACACACACAGACATGTAAACACATGGCTACACTCACACTCACACGCACACACACCTGCTCTGTTAATCTCTATGATTTCCTCCTGTGCAAGAGGACAGTCTCCTGCCATGCTTCCAGAGCCCACCATACCGCCCAGCACATTACCCATGATCCTGTGCGGTGAGGCAGTGGCCATTGCCAGGGCATCTGGCTTACAGTAGTTGGGCGATCCAGGCTGCGGAGCCCGCGGGATGTGCTTGTTCTTTTTCTTGGGCAGCTTCTGCTTGGCCATGGCCAGAGAGTAGTACATGCCGAAGTTATTTACAATGACGGGCACAGGCATGGCGATGGTCAGCACGCCTGCCAGGGCGCACAGGGCACCCACTAACATACCAGACCATGTTTCTGGATACATGTCACCATAGCCCAGTGTTGTCATGGTGACCACGGCCCACCAGAAGCCAATGGGGATGTTTTTGAAGGTGGTGTGGGCGCTTGCCGTGGGGTCAGCAGGGTCAGCGCCGATGCGCTCGGCGTAGTAGATCATGGTGGCGAAGATGAGCACTCCGAGAGCGAGGAAGATGATAAGGAGCAAGAATTCATTGGTGCTGGCGCGGAGCGTGTGGCCCAGCACTCTCAGCCCCACGAAATGCCGAGTAAGCTTGAAGATTCGCAGGATTCGGACGAATCGCACCACGCGCAAAAAGCCCAGCACGTCTTTCGCCGCTTTAGAGGAGAGGCCGCTCAACGCCACCTCCAGGTAAAAGGGCAGGATGGCTACAAAGTCAATGATGTTCAGCGAGCTCTTGAAGAACTCGGCCTTGTCCGGGCAGAAGATGACACGGGCGAACACCTCGATGGTGAACCAGATGACGCATACGCCCTCCACGTAGGTCAGCCAGTTGTCAGTCACTACCTCATACACAATCTCCTCCCGCGTGACGTTCCCCACTGTCACGTTCTCTGTCTTATTGTAGATGGTGTTGAAGGCCTCATGTGTCTCCAAGCAAAATGTTGAGATGGAGATGAGGATGAACAGGAGCGAGCCGAACGCCACATACTAAAAACAGAGAGAGGAAGACAGAGAGAGACAGGAAGACACAAAGAGAGATGAGAAGATGAGCACAATTATATTATACAGAGAAATCAGTGAGATCACTATTGGATCACTATTTAAATTGAGAACTGTTACAGTGTCATTTCTATGGCAAAATTGCAAAAACAATAACAGTCTGATCATCAACATGATCTAGATCAGGGGTCTTCAACAAGGGCTCCGCCAATTATTGTTTATACCAAACACTAAGTTGTGTCCCAAATGACATACTATGCACTGTACTCTACAATTTCACATCAGACTAACTCGAACCCATTGCGAAATCTTTCACCCTCATGCGAGTGGATTCCTATTAAATTGACTGGAATTTCACCTGCATAACAACAGTAAATGTGGCCACAGCTTAATGTATGAATTTTCTCGTCCAGCTTCAGAGTCTGAAAGCCCTTCCCCTGCCGTTTGTACAGTTAAAAAGTGCATCATCCCAGTACTTTAAGTGCACTGTTTCTCGTCGGTATTTTCAGTGTGAACACACTATTCACACTATTTACGGTATACTACAAAATGGCTACCATAGAATAGTGCAAAAGCACGCAAATTGGGATGCACCTTAAATTTTGTGGAAAATGAACCAAGCTAAACCTAAACTTAAGAAGCTGAGTTCCCCTAAACGTTTCATTGTTCCTCACAGATTCAAATATACCATGTAAAATTTAAATGTAATAATAATAGTTGTTTTAATGGCTTTGCAACTTAAGTATCATAAAGTATGTGAATGCATTAATATGAAACAACACACATTATTATAGGCCAGGCTTAAAATGCAACACTCAATTAAAACAATATTTAACAGAGGGTCCCTGCTTGGTCTTTCTATACAACAAAGTGTCCTTGGACTGAAAAAGGTTGAAGACACCTTTTCTAGATAGATTGTATAAATCAAAATAGCATGTTGGGATTCTCTTTCTGTGCTCAAAACCGTAAGCTGTGGGCAGCAGGTACAAAAGAACATTGAAAACAAGCATATACATGACAGAATAAGCGCTTTAACATCCAGGGGCTGCTGTGATGCAGTTTGGACCACTGCAGAGGTCGTTCTCAATCACAAAGAGATGTACCACAGATAGAGGGCGCCAAATACTACAACAAAACAGCAAAAGTGCTCTGCGAATAGTGAGACTGGTGTTAATGCAGCAGTCTCATTGACACGCTGCACTGAGGAAACACCACAGAGAAGGAAGATGGGGGTAAAGCAGACTTTGTGAAATGAGTGTGAAGACGAGGAGAATAGATGATGGAGGCAGTAAATGAGAGAAGAGATGGGTTGTATATACAAAGTACTGTAATGGAGGGGAAGAAGAGAGAGAGAAAAAAAATATATTTAGAAATTAAAAAAATCTGAGCGCATAAGGATATGGAAGAGGGAGAAAAGGGGAAATGAGGGGCCAGTGAATTACAGCAGCGTGCGTGGTCACCATTCTGAAAAAAGAGATGTCATGTTGTCTCTCCTGTAGATAGATGTACATTGATTGGCTGGTGCACATCTCTTGTTAAAGCCCACAGCCTCTTCTCCTATCACCTGCAATCAATATAATCTGTTTATCTCAGTCCACCTCAGTACCAGCATCCACACTGTGATTTTTTTTATGTAGCCCGTCATTAAAGCCATTTATTTGGAAGTGTGTGTGTGTGTGTGAAGCGCTGCTGCTGCCATTCCCCCTCTGCAGTGCTCGCATTATTCTCCCCACTCCCCGCTCCTCATTTCTCCCCCTCCTCTCTGTCAGTCCACACTTGCCCCTCCTCCCTTTACTGGGGTAAACCATTCCTTTTGCAGAGGAATATCTCTCCACCTCCTTTTCTGCCTCCAGTCTTCTGGCTCCTCTGCACTGACAGTCCTCCTACCATGTTTTCAATTTTTCTGTCTCTGTGGCTTTCCTGCAAGTTGCCCAGATGTCCCACACATTTCACAATGGCATGGCAGACATTTACAGTGCAAAAATAATTGTCATACTAGTCAAGTGTTTTAGCTGGTTTCCCCAGTAAAAATATCTAAACTAAATATATTTACCTGAGATTTATTTTCAGAGAATATATTGTGAGTAAAGTTTATTTATCTTACACCATTGCCTAATTGTTTTTAAAAGAATGAATGTTGATGAAACAAAAAGAGAAAAAGAAAAACTTGCCAATGGGGTAAGAAAAATAAATATAATATTTATTCTCTGAAAGGAAGACTAAGTATCTTTATCATCATTATTTTGCAATGAAACCGAAGTATGGACAGATCTTTTCTTCCGTATTGTGACGTACATCCGAGTGAAACGAATTATGAAAAATAAAAACAAATGTAGGATGGGAACTTGGTTCTATCAGATGTTGACTGGATTTTGAGATGTGGACATTGCACTCAAAAATAAATTAAATATTACATTTTGATTAATCATTATGAGGTAAAACATTTATACAGTTGCAATCTAAATTATTAAACCCCCCGGAGACTGTAATAATTTACAAATGTAAGCTTTTCTAAATATAGTTTAAAAAAAATTGCATCTATAATAGTTTAGTGGCATCTATAATAGTTTAAAAGTGATTACGTCAATATATAATGTAATGCTTTTGAGCTATAGGATTTTTTTTTGTGGTAAATAATAATAATTCAACCCCTATTCAACGTGCTGTTTTAAGTCACTTAATTGTTTGGTATATGGTATAAAATTGTGTTAAAACACAATTAAGCCTTTGGAAATTCTATAGCAAAACTGAATGAGCTTGTTCTGTAACACATACATACATTTATCCCATGCAAGTGCTAAAGTTGAGTAGAAAATAGCCAGGTCAAAAGAGCTCTCACAAAAGCTAGAGAGAAGAAATTGTTTTATTACATACAAAATTCTATGGCTACAACAAATTCCAAAACACTAAAAGTTCCTAGAGACACAGCTGGCAGCCTTATTCATAACTTTAACATTTGTTGTACCAGAAAACTTTTAATGTGGTGAAGAAAAAGCACAATATTAAGGGGAATAAAATGTTTGATCAGAGCAACTGAGAGCAAAGAATTGCAAGAGGACATGATGCAAGTAGGAAAAAACTTTTCAATTTCTTAATAAGAAGAACACTAGACAAGCATGGTCTTAATGTTGGGATATCTTGCAGAATCCCACTCTTGACCAAGAAGAACGTAAAAGCCAGACTTGAATATGCTCAAATTAATTTGGATAGACCTGTGGAGTTCTGGAAGAATGATTTATGGAGTGAACTTTTTGGACCCATGGATCTATGGTGTGTCTGGTGCAAAAAAAAGCAAAGCTTATGAGCAGAAGAACACCATCTCCATGGTCAAACACTGAGGTGCTCCAGTCTTGTTATGGGGGTGCTTTGCTGTTGCAAGAAGTGGAAATCTTGACTGTATGAAGGACATCATGACTTCTATCAAGTATCAAGCCATTTTGGCAAAGATGGTGATGGACTTTCAATGGACTTTCCTGCAGAAAAGCCATCCCAAAGTATACATCCAAATCTACTGAAGCTTGGTTCGTAGAATGTTCTTGAGTGGCCTGTAAAGTCTTCAGATTTAAATCTCATTCAAAATATTTTGTGGAATTTGAAGAAAGCAGTGGCAACATAAAAACCAAAGATTATTAGTGATCTGAAAGCTTTTTCAAGCAAGGAATGGGTAGAGATTGCCGTAGAGAGGCGACAGAAGCTTCTAAGCACTTACAGGCGGCGTTTATTGGAGGTTATAAAGAATTAAAAAAAAGATTCTGCACAAAATTTGACTTTTGGGGGTTGAATAATTTTGCACATGAATGTTTAGAGCCAATTCGATTTTTTTTTCTTGAATGATAATCTTAACATTCTCAGAATCACTCAAATGCGCATTAAGAAACTTCCTATAATATTTTACTGATCCCTTTGTTGAATTGTTTTCATTCAATTTGGTTCTCAGCAGAAAATGTCAATTTTGTTGAATAATTTTGATTGCAACTAAGTAAAAAATGAAGCAAATACATTGATAATAAGATCTATAACATGCATTTAAAAAATCAATAGGGTGAATTTGAATTTCATGCTAGATCTACATAATTAAGTGTAAAGATTGTGATCTCGATTCAGATCTTATTCTTAAAAGACAACTGATTCATCCAGTAATGAAACAAGTAAGGTGTGTTTGACTTGAAGCGGCGCTGTGTGATCGGTGTATGACATCAAATGATATGCCGTCTGCTCTCTAATCACCCTCGCTGTACTTTGATATCATACAACAATCGGTCTGTGCAGAGCTGCTTCAAGTCGAACACAACTGTAAAGCAATTATGAGTGAGTCATTGAATCATTCATTCAAACTGATTAATAATTAAGCAATTAACATTTTGTCAGAACCACTAGTAGATTACATGTTATTTAGTTTAGTTATCTAGTATAGAGAATAGAATCTCTATTTGAAACAAAAGAAAATTGTGATTCTCAATTTAGAATCGTGCAGCTCTATTTCATGCTGACTTGAGTAAATGAATCTAATAAGTACATTTATTGAAGTACATTTATTATTTTAAAGATGTTTGTACTAGAAAATTGGACAAAAATACTGACATGAGAATGATTTTTGCAGTCTAGGTGCACATATGCACCGCTTTCTGTTCCTTTCAGTACCCATAAAAAACAATAACAAATGAAGAAAACAGATACAAACAAAAACACAGTTTCTTAACCATTTGAATTAAGACACCTAAAAAACAGTTTTAAGGACATCTCTCAAATAGCTGCAGTCAGGTCAATCCTCCCATGACGAACGAGAAGCAGTCAAATGAAGGACTGTGGCATCCTGTGAGAATTAACTAATTCCCCAACCCGATTAGCATGAACTAATTTAACGAGCCCATCTTGTCGTGCCCTCAAAATCCTGATGAGGGACCCGTTTGTGTGTCAAGCAGACACTCCACCACCACCACGCACAATGTCACCAGCACTCCACACGTTCTGCTCCAGATACAAGCGAG